TTCTCTTTCTCCTCTCAGCCCACACTCGGGTCTAAACAGTGTTTTAGGATTTGGCTCTCAGACCTCATATCCCACACTCTACCTCCATTGTTATTTTCTAACAACACTTGCTTTCTTTCTGGAGGCAACATATTCCTGCCTGCAGGCATCTTCACTAGCTGATGCCAGAGCCTGAGATTCTCTCCCTCAGGTTTTTGCAGAAGTAATTTTTTTCATCATTCAGGCCTTGACTTATAAACTAGTTTCTCTGCAAGGTCTCCTCTGACAATGCAATCTCTTTTAATCATGTCCCTGCATTTTACTGGAGCTGAATCTTCATCCTAATTAATTTGTTCATTGGTTATTTACACATCCCCATGCAGTCTCCATGATAGCATTGCTTTTTTACTCATATTTCACTTTGTATTGCCTACGTTTAAAAGTAACTCAGGGTAGAAAAGTTTCAAAAAAGAAGCTCATTAAATGGGTGATACAATGAATTAATCATCAATGAATAAAAGGTTTACTTCAGAATAAACTTCAAAAAGATAATACTTCACTACTATGCGCTATGAAGCTAGTGGTCTTTGATTCAAATCCGGATACATGCTAATGGAGAGATTTTGGACTAATGTCTTAATCACTAAAGCTTTAAGATTTCCATCTGTAAAATTGAAAATTTTATAAATCATCACAGAATTTTATGAAGATTAGATGAAAACATGCATGTAAAGCACTCAAAAGATGTCTTGGTACATAAAAAAAAAAGTGTCCACTATTTATTATTGTTAAAATTGAATACTAGCTAAAAACACATTTGGCCCAATATCAGCAATTTTCTGTGGATTCCTGGCATCTGTTTGCATCTTTGTATATTTCATACATGTGCTTCCAGGAGACTTTGATTTTGGAGGTCAGTTACTTGGCATTATGTGCTCCAAGCATTTTTAAAAATTGAGATACACTTCATTCTTTTACAGTTATGATAGTCATCATTTAAAATTGGATAATTCAGTGTTTTTGTTATACTCACAACATGGTGCAGCTATCACCACTATGTAATTCCAGAATATTTTTCTAATAGCAAGAAGACATCCCACATCCATTAGCATTGCACCCCATTCTCCTCTTCCCACAGCCAATGTCAACCACTGATCTCTATCAATGGATTTTTCTCTTCTAAACATTTTATATAAATGAAATCATAATATGTTGCTTTATGTGTTGCTTTTCTTCAACTTGTACTAATGTTTTCAAGGTTTACCTATATGAATTACCATAAATCAGTACTTCATTTCTTTTTATTCCCCAATAATATTCAATTTTGTAGATATAACCATATTTTGCTATTCCTTTCTTCAGATAATAGACATTTAGATTGTTTTTACATTTTAACTATTTTGAATAATGCTGCTGTGAACAATAATATATGTTTATGTGCAGATGTAGATGTTCACTCCTCTTGGGTATATATCCAAAAGTGAAATAGTTGGTCATGCAGTGGTCATATTTAATATATTGGAGAACTACAAAACCATTTTCCAAAGTGGCTGAATTATTTGACATTCCAATCTGCAGTTTGTGAGAATTCAAATTTCTTTGCATCTTCACCAAACTGTGTTTTGCCCGCCTTTTTTTATTATAGCCATGTAGTGAATATGAAACGGTATCTCATTGTGGTTTTGAATTTCTTAGTGACTAATGATGCTAAGCAAATTTTCTTTTTTTACCATTTATTTTTGGTTCAGAAGTACATGTGCAGGTTTGTAATACAGGTGAACTTCTCATCATGGGGATTTCGTGTACAGATTATATCATAACCCAGGTAAGAAGCATAGTACCCAATAGGTATTTTTCTGATTCTCTCCCTCTTCCCACCTTCCACTTTCAAGTAGGCCCCAGTGTCTGTTCGCCTATTAGTGTCCATGTGTTCTCATTGATTAGCTCCCACTTATAAGTGAGAACATATAGTATTTGGTTTTCTGTTCTTGCATTAGTTTGCTTCGGATAAAGGTCTCCAGCTGCATCCATGTTGTTGCAAAGGACATGATCGCATTCTTTTTTAAACCTGCATAATATTCTATGGTGTATATGTACCACCATATATATATATATATATATATGTAGTCTACCATTGATGGGCATTTAGATTTACTCCATATCTTTGTTCTTGTGAATAGCACTATAATGAGCATACATGTGCAGGCATCTTGCTAGTAGAACAACTTATATTCTTTTGGGTATATATCCAGATTTTATATATATATATATACACACAGACACACACACATATATATATATAGCTTCCTTCTAAGAGTTTTAGATTTTTCACCCTTACATTTAGATCTTCAATCCATTTGAATTATTTTATATGGTGTAATGTAGGGGTAGAAATTAGAGATAGATAGATAAACACATAGATAGATAGATAGATACATAGATACATAGATACATAGATAGATGCAGTTGTTCCAGCACCATTTGTTAAAAAATAAAATAAAATATTTCTTCACTGCATTTTATTGTCACCCCAGGTGAAAATCACTAGAGATTTATTTATGGAGTCTTCATTGTATTCCATTGATCTACACGTTAAACCTTATACCACTACTACACTGTCTTGACTACTGCAGCTTTTGAGATATGATATCAAGAAGCGTGAGTCCTCCAACTTTGTTCTTCTTCAAGATTGTGTTGGCTGCTTTGGTCTCTGGCATTTCTATATGTATTTTAAGATCAGCTTGTCAATATCAGCAAAGAAAAAAAGCATATGATATTTAGACAAGGAATATGTTAAAACCGTAGATCTAATTGGAGACTGTCAATCTTCAGAATATAGAGTCTTCCAATCTAAGAACATGGGAAGTCATTCTATTTATTTAAGTCTTTAATTTCTCTAAACAATGTTTGTGATATTAAGTGTGCAATCTTGCACTTCCATCATTAAATTTATTCTTAAATATTTAATTATTTAGATGCCATTTTAAATGGCATCAAGTTCATTTCCAGCTTATTCACTACTAGTGTAGAGAAATACAATTAATTTTTATGTATTGATCTTGAATCCTGCAAACTTGCCTAACTTTTTATGAGCACTAGTGGATTTTTTGCTATATAATTTAGGATTTTCTATTTGTAAGCTCATGTAATATTCAAATAGAGATAGTTTTACTTCTTATCTTGCAATCTCGATGTCTTTTATTCCTTTTTCTTACATAAATGCCAAGGCTAGAATCTCCAGCACAGTGCTGAATAACAAGTAGTGAGATTGAAAATCTTTATCTTGTGAATTATCTTAGAAAAAAATATTTTAATCTTTCACCATTGTGTATGATGTTGGCTGTGGGGTTTTCGTTAGCCAGCTTTCCAGGTTCAGGTGATCTTCTGCTATCATGAAATAGTTTAGGATTTTTTCAAAGGTTTTTTCTGTGTCTATGGGATCATCATGTGTTTTATTATTATTGTTTTTCTAGTATGACATATTATATATTTTTTTGTTGTATGTTGAACTAATCTGTATTCCTTTGATACACTGCATCCAATCTCACTTTGCCCTACCTGGTGTAATTCTTTTAAGATATTGCTGGACATGATTTGTCAGTATTTTGGTAAGCATTTTTTGTGCTTATATTCACAAGGGATATTTGTCTGTAGTGATAATTTATTGTGATGTTCTTATCTGATTTTGATATGAAGGCAGTGTTGGTCTCATAGAATAAGTTGAGAAGGGCTCACTTCTAATATATTTTTGGAAAAGCTTGCAAAAAATTAGTATTAACTCTTTAAAAACTAGTTGAATTCACCAGTAAAGACATCTAGTCCTAATTTTTTTTTGTGGAATGTTTAAAAATATTATTTCAATCCCTTGACTTGTTATTGATTTTTCATTTTCTGTTTCTTTTGAGTAGCTTTTGAGTAGCTTCTGTATCTTTCTAAGAATTTGTAATCTTTATCTAATTTAGCCAATAATTTTGTACACAGTTGTATATAGTAATCCTTTACCTTTTTAATATAAAGTTGGTAGTATTTTTCCCTTTTTCATCCTGATTTTAGTAATTTGAGTATCCTCCCTTTTTCTTGATTATGCTACCTAAAGATATGTCAATTGTGTTAATTTATTTCAAAGTCCCAGTGTTTGCTTTTGTTGTTGTTGTTGTATAGTTTTTCTATCCCCATCTATACAGTTTTTCTATCCGCATCTCATTTACTTTCATTCAAATTTTTATTATTTATTTATTTCTGCTTAAAGTTTCTCTTGATATTCTTTTTCCATTCTCTTAAGAAGGAAGATTGGGTTACTGATTTGTGATCTCTCTTCTTTTTTAACACAGGTATTTGCAGACATCCATTTTTTCTCTAATCATTCCTTTAGCTTCATCTCATATGTTTCGTTATACACCGATCTTATTCAAATTCATTTTGAAGTACTTTCTGATCTGTCTTGTGACTTATTCTTTGATTATTTAGAAAGGTGATTATTTAGAAAGATGAGACTTAATCTTGTGACTTACTCTTTGATTATTTAGAAAGATGATTATTTAGAAAGATGAGACTTAAATTTCCACACATTTATAAATTTCCAAACTTTTATTTTCTTAATTTATTTCTAATTTTATTCCACTGTTATTAGGAAACATACTCTGCATGATTTAAATTCTTTAAATTTATTAAAGCTAATTTTATGGCTTAATTTATGCTCTATCTGGAGGAATGTTCCATGTGCACTTGAGAATAATTTGAATTCTGTTTTGTTGGATGGATTATTTTATATGAGATGTCTGCTCATTCTGGCTGGTTTATATTGTCATTCAAGTATTCCATTTCCTTACTTATCTTATGCCTAATTGTCCTATCTGTAATTGAAAGTTGGTTATTAAAATCTCCAACTGTTACCATTAAATTGTCAAACTCCCCCTTCAATTATGTTAGTTTTGTTTCCTATATTTCTCTGTTGTTAGGCACATTTATACCTCCTTGTTTGACCATTTTATTATTCTAAAATATAATTTTTGTCATTAGCAATAAGTTTGTGGTCTTAAAGTATATTTTGTTGGAACTATACATAGATCAGCATTGCGCCAGTGCAAGGATGACACACAAATTCATAAAGCATCCCATAACTTTTTTAAAGCATATTATGTCTTTTATTTGTATCACTACCTCAGTTTTCTTTATGTTACTGTTTGTTTGCCTGGGATATCTGTTCCTATCCTTTTTCTTTAAACCTATTTGTATCATTCAACTTAAAGTATGTGTGTTGTAGCAATATATAGTTATATATATATATATATTTTTCCTTCTGGTAATTTCAGTCTATGACATGGATAATTAGAATACTTAATTCATTTGCATTTTGTGTAATTCCTGACAGTTTGAGACTTATGTCTGTGATTCAGCTATTTATTTTTACATATCTTGTGTAATTTCTGTTTTTCTTTCTCCATTTTTTTTCCCTTATTACTGCCTTCTCTTATGTTGTACAGGTACTCTATAATATCACACTTTCGTTCTCTTGCCATGTCACTTATTATATTTTTTAGTTATTTTCTCAGTGCTTGTCCTGTGGCTTCTAATTATCATGTTAACTTATAACACTCTATCTTGTATTAATAATAACAATTACAGTAGTATACAAAATTTGTTTCTATCCATCTTTATCTTCCATCCTTTCTTCTGATGTCATACAAATGATACAGTTTCGCATTGTATCTCATCAACACAGATTTATAACCATTGTTTTATGCAGCTGTCTTTTAATTCAGAAAGGAGAACAGATGAGATATGAATAAAAATACATTTGTGCTATCTTTTATATGTTTCTATGTAATTCTTCAATGGTGTTTTTTATTCTTTCTTGTAGATTTCAGTTACTGTCTTTATGTATTTCTTATAGGGAAGCAGTCTACCAGTATTTTGTTTTTCTTGTTTTGTTTTGTTGTTTTTAGCAGTCTGTGTCATCCCAATCCTCTAGCCCCTTAGGCTTATGTTACAAAGTCAGTTTTAGTCCTATAGAGAACACTTTGTGCATCATGAGTCATTTCTTCTTGCTGATTTTAAGTTCAACCATTGTGGAAAGTAGTGTGGTAGTTCCTCAAAGAACTTAAGAGGATTAGCATTTAACCCAGTGATCCCATTATTGAGTATATACCCAAAGGAATATAAATAATTCTACCATGAAGATATATACATGCGTATGTTCATTTCAGCACTATTCACCACAGCAAAGCCATAGAATCAACCTAAATGCCCATCAACAATAGACTAGATAAAGAAAATGTGGTACATATACATCCTGGAATACTATGCAGTCATAAAAAAAACAAGATCATGTCCTTCGCAGCAAGATAGATGGAGCTGGAGGCTGTTATCCTACCTAAGCAAACTAATGCAAGAAAAGAAAACCAGAAACTGTATGTTCTCACTTATAAGTGGGAGCTAAATGATGAGAACACATGGACACAAAGAAGGGAACAACAGACACTGGTGCCTACTTGAGGGTAGAAAGCGGGAGGAGGGAAAGGATTTCAAAAACTACCTATTGGGGCCGGGCGCGGTGGCTCAAGCCTGTAATCCCAGCACTTTGGGAGGCCGAGACGGGCGGATCACGAGGTCAGGAGATCGAGACCATCCTGGCTAACACGGTGAAACCCCGTCTCTACTAAAAAGATACAAAAAATTAGCCGGGCGAGGTGGCGGGCACCTGTAGTCCCAGCTACTCGGGAGGCTGAGGCAGGAGAATGGCGTGAACCCGGGAGGCAGAGCTTGCAGTGAGCTGAGATCCGGCCACTGCACTCCAGCCTGGGCGACAGAGCCAGACTCCGTCTCAAAAAAAAAAAAAAAAAAACCTACCTATTGGGTGTTATGCTTATTACCTGGGTGACAAAATAATCTGTATACCAAACACCTGTGGCATGCATTTTACCTATATAACAAATTTGCATATGTACACCCGGACATAAAAATTTTTAAAAGATTGCCTTGCAAGTGAGGTCTTCCAGGAAACTACCACAAGAGTTCAATAATGTCAGTTCTCTGGGAATGAAGGTTTGAAGAAGATGTAGCACAGTTTTGCCTCTTCCTTTGGCTATCAGACTGCTGGTTTTCACAGTAATTGTGATCTTAGTTTTCAAGCCTACTGTGGAGCTGGGAAGAGGTGGATGGAAATAGAAAAAACCAAAGTGCCACAAAACACACTGATTTAACTGAGATTCAGCATTTTTCTTGGATGCACACTCTGAATTGCTCCCAGTCTCTGTTTAATTTCCTGTGTTCTGAAAGCTGATTCTGACAACTTCCCGCCAGTGTTCTCATTCATTTTACGGAGAATACAATCGCTGAAGCTCCTTATATAACCGTGTTCACTGAAGTCCAGCTACACGTAAATTTACACAATATTTTATATACCATAAATCTCTAATGAAAATCTTTAAAAACTAAAATATAAATACACATAATATAAAATGTTTCACATAAAAGGACAATAATTTCTATAATATGCTAAATTGCTTTATCTGATGAACAAGACATGGTATGCAAATGTAGAAGTATCTGTCATAGCTATTTTCTTTTAAAATATCTCATCAATCATCAACTAATTTCTCTCAACAGAAATGAAGGCTAGAAAAATAGCAACCATAGGATACCATGATCTCTCAACCTGGTTGTTTTTGCCAATTTATTTGTTCATTTATTTATCCCACAGATACCAACTATGCTAAGCATTGAGGACACAGTTCTCAAGAAGACCCTGACCCACATGTTTCTCGTTCTGATTTAACAACACTACTTCACGACCAAATAAGTCAGAGGCCTGTGAACCACAGCGACTTCATCCTGAATAGGAGCTGGGTAAAATGAGGCTAAGACTTACTGGGCTGCATTCCCAATGGTGAAGGCATTCAAAGTCACAGAACGAGATAGGAGGTTGGCACAAGACATGAGGAATAAAGACCTTGCTAATCAAACGGGTTGCAGTAAAGAAGCTGGCTCAAACCCACCAAACCCACGATGGCGACTAGAGTGACCTCTGGTTGTCCCCACTGTCACACTCCCACCAGCACCAGGAGAGTTTACAAATGCTATGCCGACATCAGGAAGTTACCCTATACAGTCTAGAGAGGGAAGGCATAAATAATCCACTCCATGTTGACCATATCATCAAAAAACAACCATAAAAGCGGGGAACCAGCAGCCCTAGGGGCTGCTCTATTTATGAAGTAGCCATTCTTTTATTCCTTTACTTTCTTAATAAAGTTGTTTTTGCTTTACACTGTGAACTCATCCTGAATTCTTTCTTGAATGAGATCCAAGAACGCTGTCTTGAGGTTTAGATTGGGACCCCTTTCTTGTAACAAATAGGTGTATTTACAAATTGTTATAGAAAGGAGAAAAGAGCATCATTAAATCCATCTAGGTTTGGGGGGATGTCCCACAATGGTATTGCCATCTTCGAAGAAAATGTTAAGATTAAATTAGACTCTGCCAGAAGAAGCAAGGAGCATAAGGGTTGGGGGATGACATTAAACACTTTATAATGATTTCAGAAGAATCATTCAAACTACAATTCTTACAAGTGTTAGTTAAATCAGTCAAATCAAAGATCTGGCTTCCAGTTAAAGAAAGATGTAAAAATAGAGAAATTAAAAGATGATAGGCATTATCAATCCCCCTTTTGATGGTAATATTCCTTCCAATTATTACCAGTATTTTATATACTTCGCAGGACTAACATCTTGCTTGTCCTGTAACCGAGGCTGGAGTGCAGTGGCAGGATCAGGCTCACTGTAGCCTTAAACTCCTGGGCACAAGAGATTCTCCCACCTCAGCTGTGAGTGTCTGGGGCTACAGGCACACTCCACCCAAACTAAGTATTTTAACTTTGTATAGAAAGAGGGTCTCACCATGTTGCCCAGTCTGGTCTTGAATTCCTGGTCTCCAGCCATTCTCCCGATTTAGCCTCCCAAGACTCTGGGATTACAGGCATGGGCCACCATATGTGTTTCCACTTTTTTTTCTATCCCCACTGGGTTAGCAAAGTGCCATGTATGTAGTTGGTGCACCCCACGTTTTGACAATAGGAAAGAAAATTATGGAACAACTACATAATATCCCACAGCTAACTCTGAGGTACATTATAAAATTATTGAGTTTGGAATGAATTTTGTGGCCATACTTTCACAAACCTCAGCATCTTCAATTCTAATCACAGTCAAAATTGTTTTGGATATAATGGTAAACAAGATCATCTTCAAGAGTGAAGACTAATAGAAGAATGTAGGATCCATTGTTAAAATAATCAATTTAGATGCTTTTGTTTGCCTAACACTTATCCTTAATTTATAATTTTCGTAGTCTAATCTTAAAGTGAAATTCTAAATAAAACGTTCATATTGAACGTATCAAGAATATCGTCTTTCTACCCTGGACATCAGGATTCCTTCAAATAATGTTGTTTTTATTTGTTATTTGCCATTCATTCTCAACAGTAACATTTAAGAGAAAAGGTAAATGAAACATTTCACATGCCCCCTAGTTATTCAGAATAGAAGCCACAAACTAGTTACCAAAGGGAAGCATTTAGTTTTATTTGCACAAAGTTAAAATATTTTTTTTTCAACATGTAGAAGTTAGGATATTGCATATGAAAATCTAGTTATGTGACCTCTCTTTTAAAAATCAGGCTATCTGCGCAGTGGAAACAATCTCCTGGAGTGGAGGAGCGTTTTCTCCCTCCCGTGTCACAGTCCTCAGAGTTTTCTTCAGTCTTTCAGACGCTGAGGGTTATGTCAGTTGTAATTCACATACATGCTATCTCTGTCTTCATAAAAGATTTAAGAGCAAAGTGAAATGTTTTTCTGCATGCATTTTTATCTAGAGAGGGGAAGTTAAACATGGATGTTTCAAGAAAAACGTGAGAAAATGTATTTCTCTTTTGAAAATGAGAAGTATTCCTACATGCTTAATATTGAAATGAAATGTTTCTACACCTATAAATCAATGCGTCACTAATAAACAATGCATATTAAGTAGTGTGACTGGAACATGCACAAACAACTTAATAACCACAACAAAAATGCCTGAAATTTAGCTGGGTTTGTTTCTGAATTAGATTAAGTGACACTGCT